CGGCGCGCGCCATTCTTGTGCGCCACAATGCAAAATTAACAGCGCCATTGTCGTCGCTGGCGAGGGGCGGAGCGCCGCCAGCGTCCCTGGCGCGCCGGTTCTGCCGCGCCGGCACGCGCCCCACCTCAGCGGTCGGGATATGGGCGAACCGGAGGTAAGCTGAACCTTCCTCGGCGCAGGATGGAGAGCAAATAGCGTAAAGAGGAGGTAGTGGAGCACGGAAATAATTTGTTGTATTGGAAAATCTGCCTTAGAAAGGCGGCTTTAATAGTAAATAATGCAGAAGAATGGACGCTCTTCTCTCTGCAGAAAGCTTATTTCAATGATTTTGATAGCGTTGACAGCCTTCAACTGTAAGTGCCCGAGGCCAGTTGTTACAGAATATGAACAACCGAGTAAGCCTTGATGCGTTTTTCCTTCAAATGTGTTATCATTTAGTCACCCTGTTCTTATCAATGAAACTGGGTTGGGAGAAATTGGGAAAAGCTTGTGTCTCTTTCCATGAATTGTCTCGCACTGCACACCTCACCGACACTGACCGGACACGAAGTTATAATAGCGGACGCGAGATTTTGGACGCCACTTAATAGTCTTTGTCGCCGAGGCGTCCTAAAACTCATACCATCATAATCATCTCTACTGCACAAACGTATTCATATCAATTTAATCAAAGGTAGGTACCCTGCTAGCCTTATACATTATATTTATGTTTTAATTGCAGAGGCAGTTTACTGTCCAGCCATATATGGCTACCTGTAAGTCCTGAATCTGCATAGTAGTTGCGTTTCCCGGAGCTCTTAACCGTTTTTTATTCGAAGTTCGAGTTTCTCTTTACAAATGTGTTGCCTGTTGCCAGCTCCCAGTGCTATTCAGCGGTGCAGTTGCTATGAGAAACTGGAAACGAGGCGTCGTTATTGTTAAACATTTCGCTGGTGGTTTTCAATTCCATTCGTACCGACAGTTGTAAAAAGCGTTTTTATTTCTTGCGATAGTTCATTTTAAACCTCCTGAATAAACAGTACATTTACAATATGGTCAACCCACTCACTGCGGCACCAAGAGTTACGACTTTCAGGAACGAGAAAAAATCAGGCACTCGGATCTCTTTGAATGATAAAAATATACGGCCGGCCAAATTGAATCAGAGGAAATAAAAACTCTCTCCTAATGCTGATTAAATATTCATTATTATGGGCTGGACCATATTTTGGAGATTTGAACTGTTTCACTGAAAAGTTTGTACTGATTTCCAGTATCTGCGTTTTCTTCTGGTACCGCCTGGCTGAGATAAAAACTATAAATAATAAACAATGAGAGTGATGGGGTTCATAGGATTAAAAAGTAGGATTAAAAAAGACACTACAATGGATTCCATACATCTCTTGCGCCAAATGAGCACATTCTTAACGCTTATTTAAAATGCCATGTTCTTAACGCATAAAACTGGGTAATTTAGTGTTTGAAAGCTCAAAACCAGTGCTTTCCTCACTTGAACAATACAATAAAACAACAAAATAACGAAGCGTAACAAACGTGAAAATAGGTTGAATTCTGATAATTCGTCGTAAAGCTAGTGAAGCCATGAAAACACTTATTTTGGTGCAATGCTGCATATGGTAGCTTAATGGAATTGTATGCTGCTCACCCACTGCATTTTTATTCTCACGGGACTGATCATATGGCTACTTTCGTTATTTTCAAGTTACATGTATTGGAGATCCTAGGAATATGCTTCTTCGGGACATTTTGCTCATATCGAAATTCTTTCGTTCTAGGACTGCTCAGTGCTCATACCGTGACGTAGTTCGCCCAGCATACATCCTGTTCCACATCACGCTCCTGAAACCCCCTGATTCCTCCCCAGATCCTATTGTTCCTCCCGAGACCCTCACGCGTCTCCTCATCCCTCCTCTGGCTCCCCTGTTTCTTCCGAGGCCGTCGGCTGGCTGACATTTCGCTATGATTTATGATATATCTTATTGTGTTAACGCCGTGCCTGGCATTCTTGGACGCCACATTTTAGATGATCGCCGTCTTACGATGCGTGGGCCGCACAGATTTCAATCGGCCCAGAAATAGCTGAATAAAACGGCACATTTCTCGAGTCTGACGACACATAAAAAACTCGCGCACCAACAAAGCCATCGTCATCCCGCTCTCATTCCTGGGGCGCGTGGTTAACAATCCGACGCTTCGTAAAATACGGTAATTGAAATGCGTCTAATTGGCGACACATATCGGATTGTAAATGGAGCGTGTGCGCGCCGCTGGCGGCGTCTCGGTCGATCGGGCCGGGTATGCGGCGGCGGCTCGGTCCGTGGGTCGGACCGTCACCGGTGTCGGCCCGTCACCTCCGACACTGGGCTCCTCGGCAGGGACGCGCAGGGAGCCCAGGAATGTCAGCCGCGCCACCGACCCGGCGACCCTGGCCGCCCACCCGGAGCCGCGCAAATACAGATGTCCCAGCGGCCGCAGAAATTAATGAGATTTTCTGTTGGCATTCTTCGCCGGCCTTTCTTGTCCCATCTTAACTAATTGTTGTCGTTGTTGGGCCGATGGTGAGAGCGATAAGTCGGGTCCCCTGTAGCGGCTATCTGTGCCATCGGCCGGGACCCATGCGGCGTGTAAAAAATCCACACGGTCCCGGCGCGCCCGCCGGCCGGTCCGAGTCTTTGTCGCCGATCCTGACCGGACCGCCGATACCCGGCACACGCTCTTTGTCCCCGTGATTATGCATTGTTTACGCCATGGCCAGAGCTCAAAGGGAAACAGCGTGCCACTGGTGCGTGAAGAGCTCGAGACGTGATTTACACAAGCACGCGTGGTTTCGTTTTCAATGGGTTTCGCACAATGGCTCTCATGTTATTTCAAAAGAGTTGACGTTCTGGATACTAGCTCCGCCAATATGCAAATTATCACATGTTTCGGAAGTCGGAACACCCTTCTAAATATATATCCTCCGTAATCTGAATGGCTATGCTGTTGTCCGTAAATGTGTAGGGTAGCCTGGGGCAAGACGCCCCAGATAATTTATTTTGCTACATAACTTTTGTCCCACATCACCTGGAAGGCCAAATTTGTGCTCAATGCGTTCTTTGGACATTTTATTTTAAATTCCACCCCTCAAATTCATTCACTTATGATCGGACTCCCAGCTAGGAAGTGATTTGTGAAGCAACTGCAAATGGGGCATTTTGCCCCAACCCCAGGGCAAAACGCCCCACGGCCTGGGGCAAGACGCCCCATACTCTAGATTAAAGATTGAACATGCTAGTTGACTAAATCTTATATGAGAGGCCCGTTAGACCTTGGGAGGCACGGCACTGAAGTTAGCACCTTCCATCCTGTCAGGTGTTCAGCTATGACACTATTGTATGTACAGGTTTTTCACCTGCCTCATAAGGCCAAATAATAAATTATTGCAATGCAAATGTTAACAAAATGCTTCCTTTGTCATTAATTTGCTGAGAAAGGTACATAAAATTGCATAGAAACTTACTGCTCGCCAGCAACCGAACATTAGGAAGTGGGTAGTCGGAACAACACATGAGGTAAAACGCCCCATGGGGCTTTTTCCCCGCGACCTACTGGGGCGTTTTACCCCATCACGTAGTTTGGTCAGAGAACAACGCCTTGCACTCCAGCAAGGCATAATTTAAAACGGACCAACCCAGCATTATAAGCGTTAGACAATAGTTGTTCAAAATACATAAAAGTCGTTAACCTGATGTGAACCATAAAAGAACGCCATGATGCATAATCTGACTACAAAACATAAAAATCACTCCAAAAACAAATTTTTGGCTATATCTCCCTAAAGAGTTATCACAATATCTTTCCAGTCTGCTCATATAATGATCATATAGTGGCAGTGCACGTTTTAAAGAAGAGAGAATGTTTCCCCAGAACCTTGCCAGTTCCGAGAAACATCGGTGAGGCGTTTTACCTCGGCGGGGCGACTTGCCCCGGTCTACCCTACTTTGTTCCTGTCAATAGTGCATTGGGTGGGTTGTATGACAGTCGTGTTCTGGTTTTATGGAGCAAGAATGAGCCTTTGCATTGGTGACGGACGACCGCCGAGGGCTTCATGGTCAATTTGTTAGCAATATTTATTAGCAATTTGCTGCTGAAATCGCAGTTGGGAAAAACGCAAGAGTGACTCATCTCACTGTATGTACATACGTTGCTAAATGTTTTGTCTGTGACCGTTTACCTTTATTTGGGATATGAGCATCGAAGCCAAATATTTTGATTGCATTTTTCGCCTTTCATCACCAAATACTTAGCATTCAGTTGTATAGTAACCATATGCCGTATTTATCGGAATAGGCAGCTCTATCCACTTTACTTATAAGCAGCTTTTCACCATCCATTTTACATCTTGCAATGAATCTGGAACTGCAATGCAAGACTGACACTGACTTGTTGCAAGTCAGAATAGTTAGCTCCTTCCAAAATATCACAATAATCTATTTTCACCACTTTTGCATCCCAACACCATTCAATGACATGCACTTATTGCAATAATTTGGGGTTACACCGAACACATCTGTTAATCTGAATATTTCTTCGTAGTTCGACTGCTACATTTGATTTGCATCTGCATAGATAACATGATTCATGTTATCAGATGGCATCACTAATTCCATGGAAACCTGACCTCAATGCGTGATATGTATGAATTAATATTGTTAGACGGAATTAGAAAAAAGAAAAATGTGAGAACTACATATTGCCAACTATATTTGTCCTAAAACTTCTAAAAAATTCCTTACGAAAGAGTATTCGCTGTTTTGTACTGTGAAAAGAGCACGATAAGTAGGTAATTTAATTTGTGTTCCTGGAATCAAGAAAGGGACAAATTATTGAGCTCACCGTGCCCTGAGACAATTTGCACGTCAGTTGGCCCACTGACCTCTTGCGTCTTACCCACGGCCTACCCCGCCCTCGGCCACCCTCCCTCCTCACCCCTCCGCTATCCGGCAGCGCCCCCTACTCAGGTGGTGACTCCAGCCGGCGCCTCCCCTAAACAGCGCTGATCGCTGGTAATCTCACCCAATCACGCCAAGAATTCGGCCCTTTGTCGCGGCAATCACCGGTGCCGGTGGCGGGCGAGGGGTCGCCGCCTTTCAGGGCGGCGGACGACACTGGGGCGGCAGCGCCTTCCGCCTGAGCGCCTCCGAAGAGTGAGCCGCCGCCAGCTGCCGGTGGTCGGCGGACAGAAAGAGGTGAGTGTTTGGCCAGCCGCCGCCGATCCGAGGGGCGTGAGGGGACGGGGATGGGGGTGAGGGTGGGTGTCGGTGACAGGGCTGCTCCCGGCCGTTCCGCCGGTAGTGACTATTATACGGGTGCCGCCACGCGGTGTGGAAAGCGGCGACAGTGGCTCTTCTGAATGGCGTGTTAGGACTGACCGTGAAAACAATGGAGGGCAGATGCGACCACTCGCCGCGGACGCCACCGCTCGAGTGCGTTATTTTCGAGTCGACTTTTGAGCCGGTTTTCCGGGATTATGGCGCTGTGTCGGTGGCTGCTGCGCTCGGTAGAGTTGCTCGCCGGGTCGGGGTGGGCGTGCTGGCTCGTTTGTTCGTCAAACCGCGGGCGGAAACTGGAACAGGCAGCAGTGGTGTTCACACGCCACTGCATCCGCAGACTTACCGCAGAGGACCACACCGGTCGTCCGGACGACTGGAAAAGGGAGGGAAGATGACATCCAGATGCTAGTGCTGTTTCGTGTTGACAATACAAATACAGGTGTGTGCTGTGACTCAATTGTACTATAACGACGACCTTCAGAGTGAGTAGAAAGGCCGCTCTAATGGCTCCAAACACTTATCACGACATTCAGCAGCTTTGTTTTTTCGTCAAACAGGGCAAACGTCACGAACATGTGGTATGCACTGGTTGGTGAAAAGATAAGGGCATGTAGCCTGCATGAAAATGTTGTGGTAGACTTTGCTTTTGCTGCTGGGACCGATTCCGAAAGTACGTTTCGTAATAACCGACACTTCAGATTGAAACGTTTGCCATCTCGCAAGCCCCTCTTGTCCTGCTGAACCCCTGCCATCTTACACAGAAGCTCGTACTTGCTACCCTGTCACCTTACAAGCCCTGACATGGAAGGCCCTGCCGACTTGAGGCCCTGTCATCCCACAAGCTGTGTCTGGACCCTGTCCCAGCCAAAGATAGCGCTCACCTACACCCAGACATACACACAGCCAATCTTGTCGCGGTGGCATGTCGAAGCCGCGACGTTTTTGGGAAATATGTGCGCGGCGATGTTAATCTGGTTCGGTGGTGCTGGTCGACGGGGGTCCGCCGCTCGAGCTGGCCAGGTGTCCGTACGGCGGGCGCGCTGAATGGAGAGCGGCCGCGCGGCATTGTGGACTGACCGGCGGCCCTGTGACGGTCGGCCCGGCGCGCCGCTCCACGCTGAGTCGCTGTATTAGTTTATGGTGCGTCCTGACTCGGGGCTAATGAAGCCATTTACTGGCGACGGCCGCCGCCGGCGACGGGCCACCACTCTGGAACGACAGCCGCCGCCGCTGGCGACCCAGTTGGTGCCGCCGAGTATCGCACCGATCATTATCGCTGAACTCGCCGTTTGACTGCGGTGGCTGACGGGGGGAGGGGGGAGGCAGGGGGTGCCAGTGTAAGTAATGGGACAAAACTGTTTTGCTCCGAGCCAGCCTGTTATCAGGTGGCCCCGCTGGGATGCCATGAAAAAGTACAGATCACTTTTTCATTGTTTGTGAGATTGTGTGGCCTTTTCAAAGCCCAAAGGACGTGGTTTTATTTTTGTACCATGAATAACGCAGATGGTATTCACTCCATATTACAGACCAGTGAACTAGGTAACAGAGATGCCTTTTAACGACCTGTATTGTAGAGAGGCAGGACAGCTGTTCCAATTCATGTCTGTGAATGCACACGTGTAGACCGCAGAATATAGAGCCACCAAGGAAAGGAGGGTAGAAAATTGGATGGCGCAGAAAGAGTGCCCGGAGACCATTTGTGGGTTCTTGTGGTACTCACCAGACATGTATTGTCGCTGCTCATTGCGCAAGTGATCCAAATGAGTTTAAAATCTGTAGTGAATTTTCACATCTTATATAAAACATTGCGAACTTCATGCAAGATCTGATAAAACAGTGGACTTTCAAATGGAAGAAATCAATAAACGGTGTACATACGAGGCTCGAGACAGTCATTATTTATAGAAGTTCCAAATACAATTTTAGAAACCTGCGACAATGATGTGAAAATCTCTCGACAGTGGTGTTCTCGCGGTGCCAGGCCCGTCTCGAGAGGTCTCATGACTGGGTGGTCTCAGGTCACGGTCTCACCAGCCGCCGCGCCGGTCAGTCGCCGGTCGCCGGGGCAGCTCCCGAAGAATGCCGGGGTCCATACCGGTCTCCGTATAGGCGCGATCGTAGCCACTCTCTCACGAAGGCCGGGAGCCTGGGTGGCGCCTATGTATGCGTATGTACACAAATCTCGCTCTGAGAATGCGCTGGCGCTGTGTGGTTGTGGGAAGGTGGACCTCCTGGGTGCCAGCGCTGACACGGTGTGAGGTCCGATCGCCTGCTCAAATCCATCAGAGCTCGGCTTTCATTGGGACAATTTTGGACGATGCCATAAAATATGAGCAAGATTCGTCCAGCTATTGACAAGTTAAATGACAAATGGACTTCCAGAGCTCGTTTAATGATGTCACAATAGGCCCCGTTATTCAATCACCTTCATTTTTGATTCGGTGCATGTGAAATTGATCTCCGATAGCTACGAATGCACTCAAATCCCATCTCTAGGTAGGAGGTATCGGGGGTCTGACGGTGAAAGGGTGCCGGACGGACTCATGCAATCAGTCGCCGGCCTGTCACGAACGAGGGGCCCTCCCGTAAAAAGGTGGTCCACTATCGGGGTCACTGAGCACTATACGGTTACCGGCGCCGGCTAGCGTGGGCAGCACCAGGCCAGGGCAACCTATACCGGAGCCTGCCGAGCAAATTGGGCCAAATAGAGTGATTGATGTCCGCTGACCACCAATAGTTACCTTTTGGGTATACGAATGCGAGTCTAAAGCGTTGAAAATTAGATCCTGCTGTTCAGTCAAAAAGCCGTGGCATGGCACACCTGCGCCTGGTGGGAGTAAAAAATTGTTCACACTCTCGCCAAGCCGTAATGAAATAGCACATGCTAATGGCGACGTCTCAAAATTAAAATGAGTTGCAAGACTATGCGTTTTAACACATTTTTTAGATTGATGATAGCCACTTTTCATAGCTCAGCGCTGGTCCTGAGACATCTAAAAATGTTCGTAGGGATATAGGCCTCCAAAATGCAAAGCATGACCCTAAAACGTCTGTATCATGCACGTCATAGCGAAGGATTTGAATTTCATGCTGCGGCGCCCCTCCCTTTATTCGGAGTCGACCAATCAGAACATGCGCCTTCAATCAGTTTCAACTGCTTGGAGAGATACAATCCGAACAGGTTCGGGCGTTTCTGGGAAGAGTTCAGCGTCCTGTCACTTAATCATGCAACACCACGATCGTCGGGGTAGTTCGCCAGAGTGTGATTATTGTTACACACCTGGAAACATTAATTTAAATACGCATTTGCAACATTCAACCGCGATCCTAAGCAGAAAATAGCGCAATCGAGTTTTCCCCGATCCACTAGCAAACAGTTCCGCTTAAATTTGCAGCTCTCATGACAGCAAAACATGCACATAATCTCACCTAAGTCCACTGGTTACTATTCGATCCCTTCCACAAATAGTGCTGTTGTTTATAGCTGTCGTTTTGCAAACATCATGAGCTACATGATGACATTAGCATGGCGAGTCGGCCGAGCCGGGCGATGAAGGGGTCGGCCGCTCCAAATGTGTTTATCCGTGTCATGCATAATTCGCGGCCGTGTAGTAATCCGGCCTGGTTCAGATGCAAATGGCCGCGGCGACGGGACGAGCCATCACATATGCAAGTGGGACGCCGCGCTGCCACCTCTGCCTCCCGCTCTCACCCGCACCACACTGGCTCCAGCTCCAGTTTCCAGAGTCAGCACTAATATTTGGACCAGAGACAGGATCCCAGACCAGCGCTGTCAGCACCAGCTTCATCACCAGCCATCATCAGCAGCAGAAGAACCAGCACCAGAATCCTGCTGCAGCCAGCACCAGCTTCGACACGTGGGTATCAGGACCAGAACAGGCAATCAGAGGTTCTGTCACCCCCATCACAGCTGGCACCAGCTTCAGACTCAGACTCCAACACCCAGTCAACGACAGCAGCAAGCTACGATGGCGGTTCGTCCCAGATCTGCCTGCCGAGAAACCTCCTTGTCTCTCACCACCCAGCAGTTCCTCAGACCCATCCAGCGCCCTGTCGCACGGCCTGGAAACTTCCTCTCGAAACAGGTTACTACAGCTCAATATGGCAGAAATGGGCCCGGTCACTGCCTAAGAATTCATGAATTAAGTAGCTGAGTCTTGCCATAGTCCAGGCGCGGATACAAGGGGGGGGGGCATGGGGGCCATGGCCCCCCCCCCCTTGGCCGATTTTTTTCCAAAATAAAATAAAAATTTAAAAAGCTGAAAAGGGGGCCTCCTGAAAATAAAGTGGCTATTCATGTTGAGATGTTGCCTGAACAGCTAGATAAGCTCAATAGACGCAGTTTTTTTTTGGGGGGGGGGGGGGGCCCAACAAGTGGGAAGATGGGGCCTCCAACAGGTGGGATTATGGGGGCCTCCTGGTTTCTAATGGCCCCTCCCTTGGAGATTTTCTGGATCTGCCCCTGCCATAGTCTGTGGGCTCTTGGAACCCGGTGAAGCAGCTTGACCAAGAGATGCTAAAAAGAATGACTAGGGGTCTTGGCCATCCCACTCGAACCCATTTCTCAAGCCCCGTGGTTGCAGGAAGAAGCAAGTACTCGGGAGTCTGTGAGGAAGATCTGGGTTAAAGATCTTATCTGTCGACTGTCATCCCTTTCTTTGGGCACTCAGCTTTAAAAAAGTTGCTAAAATTTTGCTTGAAACTATCTAGCTCGTCACTTGATCAACTATGAAGCTCCCAAAACTGTGACTGAACAAGAGCGTCAAACGCTAAACAGGAAACTTTCCCGGATCTCCTCCCTCTGCAGATGATGGATGCGCTGAGACCACGC